AGTGTGGTAGTTCTACATAATTTTTATTATAATAAAAGTAAATTATAAAATAAAATATAAATCAAGAAGAAAAAATGAAAATCTCATAAAGAAAAAAAAATCTAATCTAAAGAAGACTGATCCTGCACTTCTCTGAATCAATTCTAACCTAAGCTAAATCTATCATTTTCAAGAATAGAATGAAAAAAATAAAAAAAAAAAAAAGGGCTTAGTCACTACTACATTAAAAATTCATTTAATAGGATCTAAGTTGCACTATAATAGAAATTAGATTAGAGTTGCTGTTATTGTCAGAGATAGCATATGGAAGATTAAAATCAGAAGAGATAAAGTTCTTATTTTTTTTGATTGATGTTGATATTTGCAGCTTTTTCGAGGTTAGATTAAATAATACATTTTTCAACCTAAAACCTTTGAAAATCTTCAAAAATAAAATGCATCAAGGAGAAATATGCTGCTAAGGCTGTAGGCATATGTGAAATATACTTATAGATAAATTTGAAAAGGTTTATGAGAACAATTCCTTTTATAAAAACAATAAAAAAAGCAGAGGTTGATAAACTCTATCAATTAAGGCTTTTGATATTGCTAATATGTGTATTGATAATGAATTTGAGAAATCTTTCACAAGCTAAATAAGTAGTTTTATTTTATAGTCAACTATAGAATAAGTCTAAATATAATAAAAGTCTTTGTCCGCAGTATCACACCTAGAGTACAGAGTGAAGAGTGAGAACAAAGAATGATATATGATTTAAGGACCTCTACTGTAAGTAGCATTTCAAGCAGCTATTATAATTTCTTTTTTTTTAATTGCAGAGATAATGTATGTTGTATAGTTAGTAGTAACATTATCATTTAAACAAAATGATATGACAACCAGTTGAATTAAAAGATGTGTTAATATTTTGAGACAACATAAAAGGTAATAAACTATTGTAAGTATTTATAATGATAGACATTTTTGATGAATTGCTTTAGTAAAATAAAGATGGGATGATTGTTAAAAGTGAAAAAACTTTTAGGGGCAATGATAGTAATAATATATAATACAGGTAATACTGTAGTTGCTTTCACTAATGCATCTACTATATTATTAAAAATGTTATCAGAGTACGCTTTGACTTTAATAAGTGAAATATCAAAGTTGTTAGATATGATCAATTCAAAAATACAAGACTAATACACGAAATTGTTAATTTTTAAAAAGGGTCTGAAGGTAGAAAAATGTTTCAATAGAAAGTTATATCTGTTGAATTATGATATGATGACTGCTGAGTCAGTATAGATAGTAACTTTACAATTAGCAGGAGTAGTCAAAAGTGCTGTGAAGAAGGCTGCAAATTCTGGTAATGATGAAGATAGAAAACTTATAGTAAAGGATGTGTTGAAGGAAACCATTAGTAAATTTAGGTGTATTTATAACTAAGCGTTTTCTATTTTTATTAAAGGAAGGCTGATGTCTTGTAAAGAACCATCAGTGTAAAATTCTAATTCTGTGGACTGTGGAAATTATGAGAAAAGCATTAGTAAAGCTATTAAAATAAATAAATAACAATTGAATTTTTTATATAGAAATCTAAAAATAGAATTTAAAAATGATGAATATGATTAATATACTATTTAGGAAATGATCGATATAATTTAAAATTTTATATTATTATATATAATAAAATTTTAAAATAAAATAACTCATTATTTAATAATTAAAAAAAAATAAAATTTAAATTTTTTCATTAAAATAAATCATATAGTAAAATAGTTATATTTAAATAATATATTATAATTAATTTTAAATATAATATTTTATTATTTATTAATATTAAAATATTTATTAGAATAAAAAAATAAATTTTTTGATGTAGTATAATGATTTTCTTAAAAAATATTTGCTTCTCAACCAATAATTTTTGTAACAATGATTTAAAATTATAAAAATAGATCATCTCAATATTAAAGCTCAAATTTTATTTATTATATTATGCAAAAATAGAAATTAATCTTAATACTCTTTTTCTAGCAAACTTTTCATATATTCTTTCAGAACTTCCAAATGATTTCTATTACTAAAGTAAAAGTTGAATCTGAATAATAATCGAATTTTATTATATATATTATTATATAATCATAATTTTGCTATAACTATCTAATATGATTATTTTTTTTGATTCTAAAACAATGAACATTATAATTAAATAAAATACAAATACAAACTTTTTTGTTCTTAGTAGAATAACTCTTCATAAAATAATATTATTCACTTAATACATCTAGTATCTTTTATTAGTTTTTATAATTATATAGTCATGAATTTATGTAACTAATGTTAACTTCATCAAACTTTAGCTTTGATTATAAGAGAACATTATGATAACTGTTTCTTTACACTTTTATCATATTTCTGTATGACTATTCTAATTATATTTTAAAATAATAATTATGACACTACATGTAGTATTTTATCTTTAAGAGCTTTGTATAAACTGGTTGTGATTAGTTTCTATCAGTATTGAATCCTAGCCTTTCATAATTTCAAAACTTTTTTAATTTCTCAGATTTTCAGAATTTAATTAATAAAATTATCTTATTTCTGTTTAATTCACAACTTTTTAATCTTTTTCTTTTTTTTATTTATTCAAATTATTTAGAGTTTTATACTGATAGATCCCTTTAAGATGTTGGTCTACCTTTAATTAGAATAGGTTTGGCTTAATTACAGATTCATTAAAGTTCATCAATAGTTTCCTTTTCTTCAGTATTTACTACAGTTTTTCTTCTTCATCTATATCTAAATTTGCAGTTATTTTTACTGCTCTCTTAACTGCTCTTCTTTATGCAAAGCTTCAATTTTACTAATTCTACAACTGTTATTTCACAATTTAATCATTTTAAATTTCTTTTAACTAAGTTTCTAACAGTTCAGCCTACTCTTAAAATTAACAATTTTATGCATTAAACGTGTATTTTTGATTTGATTGATATATTTATATACAATTATACTTCCTTCTTTACCCTTATTAAAGGAATTGTTTCTACTTATCTTTATAATTTCATTTGCAGTAAATTAACCTCTTAATTTTTAACCACTATGCTTATTTCTCTTTCATATACTATGTTTTTATCAAAACTTACAATATTTCAAAAAACTATTGTCTTATTATTTATAACTTTAAAAATTCACTGATATTAATCTTAGTTCTAAAATAGAAAACTTTCTACTTCAAATTACACATTTTCATTTAACCCTTCTCCCTTTTCAAACATTTTAAATCCTATTGATACCATGAAGTATTTAGAATTTCATTAGTTAAATTTTTAGTATAGTAATAATTACGTCTTTTTTTCAATTATGTGTACTGTATTCCTCTGAAATAAGCAATCCCTGAAAATAAGTAACCCCCAAATTAACTTAATACCTGAAAATAAGTAACTTAATTAAATTTTATAAAATACCATATAAAAAAAAAAATTTTTTATTTTTAATGTTTCAAAATACAAATCACGTTAAACATGATCATCGATATTGTCTTTAATATCATCTTCGATATCATCATCAATATCGTCACCACTATTGATGTTATCACTACTATTGATATTATCTTTATCAAAGATCACTAAATCAGAATCCAAATCAATTGATATTTCACAAGTTTTAAAGAATTCTATAATAATTTCATCAGGAATCCTTTGCCAAGACTTTTAACCATAAACATATATCACTAAATCTAGTGTGATGAAGATTTCCCTTAGCAGTTTCTCCAGCATCATCATCAGCCATCTAAATATGCCATTTTTTACAAAGATTATCCTTGAATGGTTTATTTATTGCAATATCTAGTGGCTGACAAATGCTAGTCAACCTACCTGGAATTACTGCAAGATCAAAGCCAATTTTATGAAACTTTCTTTTTACTGATTTTTCCAAATAACCTTTAAAAGAATCATATACAAGCATTGCTAGATTTTCTTGAGACCTGGTTTTTATTCTTATATCATTGAGATAATCTACATACTTTACCATTAAATCAGAGTCCATTCAACTATTTTTTTGGAATTAAACAATAATACCAGGAGGAATTTGTTCTCTATGTGGTATTCTCTTTTCTTTGAAAATACATATTGGAGGAAGTTTGATTTCATCTATAATAATGAATCAATAGTACTAGTGAGTAAATTTTGATTTTATAAAAAAAAAGAAAAGCTTACCTGCAGCACATGTAAGTACAACTGTATACCTATTTTTTTCATTGCCTATTATGTGAATATAGACTGTTTTTTCATCCTTTGGATTGATAGTAAAATTACCAGCCATATCAAATCAAACAGGTGTTGTTGGCTTGGTATCTGTAAACTTAAATGATAAACTTTTAATTCAATCTGTCAAATTAAATATAAGATAATATCACAATCACGCAGTGATGGCCAGTAACCCAAATGACCTCAAATGACTCAAATGACTAGTCACGTGTCATTTGGATCATTTTGGCACCAAATGACAAATGACACGGTCATTTCCTGAACCAATCATTTTTCACATTTTATATATAAATCAGGTAATTACATTGTTCGATGATCTTCAACATATTATTAAACGTGCATTTTTAACGAACTAAATTTAAAAATTATAAAAAATTATAATTCAAATTTCTTTTCTATTTGTAATTTACTATTTTAAATTAATTATTTTTTATATTTAATAAATTATAAATAAATTGTAAATAAATAATATGAAAACTTAATTGATACGAGTTCAAACAATTTTTTATTAAAATGATATTATTACTGGTATTTTCAATCTAACCTAAATTAGTCAATATATTCACAAATTCAGGCGATTCAAATCTATTATTGAAAATGCTACTAAGATGCCATTTTGCAAGTGGATCATCAGCTGGATGAATAGTACAATCTACAGCTATAAAAGCTGATAGATTTGCTTCATCACTATCTGAAAAATTTTTCTTATCAATCATACCTATCCAATTTTGAATTACACGCACTCATTGTTCTGTTGAATCAATGGTATTATTGTTACTACATTTAAAATTGGGTTCATGAAATTGTGTAAAAGATTCTTCTTCACCACTGATTATTATATCATCAGCCATCTCACTATTGTCATCTTCTTTCTCAGAAGTTTCAGAAATATCCAAAACATCAGTAATTTCATAAGGTTGTATAGGAGTCACTATATGATTTTGTTTATAAATTTTTTCTGATTTTTCAACTTCAAATTTTTTTCTTTTGCGCAAAATATTACTCCTTAATTGATTTATTTCAAGCACTTTTTTATACTTTTAAATTAAATTAAAATATTTAATAATATATCAAAAAAGTAATAAATCAATAAAAGTCTAAATTTTACTTAGATAAAGTTGATTTCGTCTTTTGGAGTGTAAAAATTCCATATTAGACCAGAGTCACTCTACTGAGGTGGAATTAATACAATTTTTATATAAATGAAATGCAAAGCGCGATAATTCAAGTGCTTGCCTTTTTTCTAAATCCCAAAAATCTATTATATTCCTACCAAGTTGATTAAAAGTTTGCATATCAAAAGGATAAATTTTTCATTGATAAAAAAGGTATTCACGTAAAATATGTTGTGGTATTACACCAAACTAAATCTGATAATAATAATTGATCTACTGGCCAAAATGAGTATAAGAAAGATTTAGAATATTTATCATTAAAAAGTGAAAGACAATACTGTGAATATAAAACTAAAGATAAAAGTAAGAGAGGTTATTCCCATTGATTCCAACGATTTTCAAGGCGGGTAATCATTTGATTAGAAAAATCCTCATTTTGATAACTAAAAATACTTTAGTTATCCATCCAAAAGCAAGAATTACTTCATGTAATCGTGCTATATCTTTTTGTAATTTATTTAATGCTGTACAAAGTGGTAAAATTAGATCTTGAAGCTTATACAGATGGCTCCAAAAATTATAGTCATTAATGATGGCAATTATATCTGGAGGAAGGAATTTTTTATCTATACTTAGAATATGTCTTTGTCTCTTGTAATCACTTTGACATGTAGAAGGACCTTCAAAACATTCAGGTGCAAATTTTGTAGCTAAAGTCTAAAAAAATAAAATTAAATGAATATTTATTCATTAATCAATAAACTAAAGCA